AAGTGTTAAGTAACAATGGAAGTGTCAACAATGGAAATGCTACGTAACAATAGAACTGTTAAGAGAAAGCGACATGCAAGACGCAGATGCAGTTTTTTTCGTTTTTGCAGGAAATCGAACATATTTTTAGACCCATCTAAAAATTCTCTAATTAGTCTGGAAACAAGGAGACCCAATTCTTGCATTCTGTGAAAACGGGTAAGGTTGACTGTAACGTAATAATCTTTATCTTAGTTATCGTTACTTTTGCCTGAGCAACGCCGGGCTCACCTGCTAGTATGCTAATAAATGAAACATTCAGTTTACTAAAAATTATATTATCAATTTTTAATCATATAATCAATAATAATTCACAAATTTATAATGAATGTTCTGATACCTTTCATGATTAAGAATTATAAAGTGTCTCTCTAAATTCTGTATAAATTTAAATTTGCACAATTCCCATCTGCTGAGTAATGCATCAAATAAAATATATCTATCTTAATATGTCTTAATATTCTTTAATATAATACTGAAAAAATAACATAAAAACACAATATGATCATTTAGTTTTGTTATTTTAATTCTTCAATAATTATACCTTGCTATCATAATCTAATATGTTCCTGAAAATCATTTGAATATTGAGCATTCAGATATTAAAAAATGTCTTCCAATATTTCTAATGGAAAAAATTCTAACTTATACCTAGTCCATCTAAATAACCCATCCAATTATGCCAAATGATATTAAAACATCATAAAGACTATTTACCTACCAGTCAAACTTTTAGGATCATATTAAACATCAGAAACACCAATTATCTTACTAATATACACTTCATGAGGTAATTAAACTGTTATTGCTGTATTTTTCCATTATTCCCTGGTTTTGAATCTGGATTTTTAAAAATTTCATTTTAAATTGTAATTTCTTTTGAAATTTGCATCAGACATGAGCTGTACATCGTTTTTAATCAAACAAATCAGTATCTATGATTAACTTATTTTTAACCTAAATGTAAAACAAACACTTTTTTAAATAAAAGATCCAAAATACCATATTTGCATTTTAAAAATTAGTTTTTAAAAAATCCATAATTTTCTGAAGTAGATGGCATTGACATGCTGCTGTTCAAGGAAACAGTGTTTCATACACATTTATTTCATATTAATTATATTATTTCATAATAAGTTTTTAAAAAATTAAAACACTTGTAATGTTCTCAGGAAAAAGTTTTAGGCAACTGATCTAAAATGTTAGCTGGCTGTTTCTGCAAATGTTCCTACAAACATCAGTTAATGATGATAAAGCAATACTTGTACTATAATATTCAATGGCATATTAGTATATGTGTAGTCTACGCTACGATATTATAAAAATAGAATATTAATAACTTTCAATTTATAAGTTAACATTATACACTATATTAATATTTAAATACCTGGGAAGGAGATACATTAATCTGTGCAGTGATGAGAGGAGATGACTGCTGCTGATTTCCCAAAACACATTGTGTTAGTATAGGGCTTCCACTATCTGAGGGACTTCTTGACATATTTGATGAGGTTTGTTGAGATTGTTGACATAAATCACTTAAAGATCCAGAAAGAACAGATGATGATATTGGTGGTGAAGTCTGTATAGCTCTTGGAGATGAAACAGAATTTGGAGAAACTGTGGAAGATAGAGACAAAGATGTTGATAAAGGAAGATTCTCTGAAGTTTGTCCATCTGCATGGTCTAATGCCATTTGCTGAGCTTTCAAAATTGCTAAAAATGACAGAAAATATTTCTTATATATATTTCAGGTTATTAATATTACCACAAAATTTATTATTTTGCAAGATATTTTTTATGTATTTCAAAATGTAACCAAATACAATTGGATAATTATATTTGATGGATGTATCTTTTTTCTTATGAAAAGCTTAACAATTTAATAAGCAATAAATCATCATATAAATATCATTTAAACAGCCAATCTTCTCTTCAGGTTACATTATATTTTTTAATGTAAGACAATCTGAAGAAAGTACTGGCTTCTTATATCAATACATTATCAACATAAATCTATAATCTATCTTTCTTGTATCCAAATACAGAATGACCTTTGAAACTATTTGGTTTTGCTAAAATGTCATTTCTATCATATATATAAACATCACTAAACCAGATGTATTAATAACAAACTAAATGATCACCATAATTAATCAGACTAATTAAGGGCTATTATTAATGATTAATTAAATAGTTACTCATTAATAATAATGCTTAATTATCCAGATTAATTATGGCAATCATTACATTTATTATCATTTCTATAAAATTATAATCTGTTTTTATGTAATTTTTAGTTCTATACATACATATACATATAATTCAAATTATTTAATTATTAAGCCTTTAACTCCATCCAATAATAACCTGATAATTAAATTCACTTAAAACTTCTTAAAGTTGAAAGTATTGTTCAAATTTCTAATAAAATAGTTGCCTTTGAAATGTATTAATAAAGAACTCAGATTCAAAGGCTTATTACTTAAATTTAAATAACTTTAATCCAAAATTTATAAATCCTGGCTTAATTTAAAAGTTTCAAGTTTAATATATATTTAAGTCATAAGCCTCTAAAACTCAGTTTTACCTCAAAATAATTGAAATTTTCTGTAATTTGTCATCTCTTGATAATCAAGTAAACATCAGTGATTTTGATATTAATTAAATAATTCTAAGTTGATAATGAACAAAACTTAGCACCATTTTGAATGAATAATCATAAATACCATTAGATTAAGGAAATCAAATCTCTATTAACATTGTAATATTTAGATGAGTTGAAAAAATTAGTGTTAAAAAAAATTTTGGTTACTTTAATCTAGTAGTATTTATGATTACATACTAAGTTGATGAATTATTACATTTTTATAAAACAATGATTTTTTGGATAATTTTATGTTTAAAATAATAAATTTAATAAAAATAAAAATGTGTCATTCAAAATTTCTTCTAAATTTAATGTTATATTCTGATACTCTAGATAAGAATATATAATTTCCAATATAGAGTTTTAATATTACAAATAAATAAATATCTAGCAATAAATTATTAAATCAAAGATATTTATTAATATAATTAAATATGCTTAGTGAGAAATTATTTTATAAGAAAAACAGAATTTTTAAATATCTAATTTGAAAATTTATTAAATCAATCATCATGAGATTAACAAAAAATTAAGTATTTTTACCACTTAACTATAGTAATTGAAACTAAAGTAATCATAAGATATTAAATTATTAAGAATAAAATACAAAATACATTTACAAAAACCTAAAACGAGTTTACCACTTTATACAAATTTTATTTGTATATTTCAATAAAAGATGTATATATATATATATAAAATACATTTTAATATTACATATTTAACAAAAATCTGGAAAATTGATAACATAATGAATTATAAACAAAGTTTTGGTACCTAAAATTTCATCAATACTGAAAACACTGATTAAAATTTTTAAACATAAAAAATATAATTAACATGTGATCACATGTAGGTTTTTTGTTTACAGGATTATGTGTAAGCAATGAATTTCTGCTGATTTTTCACGTGTAATTACACCGCACATAGTTGCTGTTCCTAAAATTTGATGATTCTGGAAACTCCTGTAATGCATCTTCTCTGCATATTCAAAATTTAAATGCCATACTTTGTTTAGTTTATGAGGTATTGTTTTGTTTACAGAACAATGCCCTTGAAACTTAATAGAGTAAGTTAACATGAAATGAGTTTAGCTAGAAAGAAATAATGGGATAGAGGATGTGTTTCTCTGAAAAACCAGAAAATTATTTTTTTGTACTAAAGAACATTTAAACTATTGAAAGTCATATTGTCCTAGACCAACGGTCGGCAACCAGTGGTCCGCAGAGAAATTTGAACATTGATCAACTGAAGGTTATGCGAAGTATTGTATTAGTTAATGATGATAAAGCAATACTTGTACTATAATATTCAATGGCATATTAGTATATGTGTAGTCTACGCTACGATATTATAAAAATAGAATATTNACCAGAAAATTATTTTTTTGTACTAAAGAACATTTAAACTATTGAAAGTCATATTGTCCTAGACCAACGGTCGGCAACCAGTGGTCCGCAGAGAAATTTGAACATTGATCAACTGAAGGTTATGCGAAGTATTGTATTGAACTAAAGGTTATGTGAAAGAAATGCAAAATGCTTAGATTCTTTTTTTCACTCATTGGGATTTTTTATTCAAACCTAAAACCAAAAACAAAATGACAGTTATCAATAAATAATGAACAATAAACAATATTGTGAGTGTGATTGTCATCCATCGTGGAAAAGTGCGAAGAATCCATAAACTTGTTTCAAACAAGCTGCAATGAACTTTAGGCTTGCATTAATTTGTTATAATTAAACATGCGAGTTTCATATTAATATAGTAAAACTGAACTTTTATGATCATTATTCTACAAATTTTATTTCATTTAAAAAAATTCATAATAATGGTCCATGGGATTCAAAATTGTGACTTCAGTGGTCCATGAGATGAGAAAGGTTGCCAACCGCTGTCGTAGATTATCTTATGGAGACAAGCATTCAAGATCGTAACAAATTGCAGCTCACACATATCATTATGCATAGTTGACAAAAATTCATGATGTCTTGTCTATTTCTTACAATAATTTTAAGAGATCTCCATGACATCAATATGGAAAATTGCCTTGTTACCCATGTAATTATATGAGAAGAAAAATTGTATGCAATTGTATTTGTAAGGCAGCAATTTTTTGAGGGCTTGTAATAAACGGAAAATATTTTTCCACCCAAAATTTTTATACAATAAGACGGATAGCATGTATCATGAGGATATTATGAAAGCACAGCTAAGTAACTCAATTTTGTGAAAAATGCTCACAAAAACACTAGTAGCTATAAAAAATCACTGCTACCACATGCAATCAATGGTTAATTTACATTCAACAAACAGCTATATTCTAGGTAGCAAAAACATTATTGAAAACAATTACAAACTATTTTTTAAAATTTACAAAAAAATTTTTAATATTTTAAAAATCGTTAATATGTAAATGTAATGTAAATGTGCATATTTGGTGAGGCAGCCATGCCACCCTTCTAGAAGCTTAAAAGGTGTCAAAGGTGTTGGAAAATATTTGTGATTTGTTTATGTTAAAAAGTCATCAGTTATTTAAATTCTGTGTATTCAGTTTGTTACTTTTTATGAAAATAAAAATTCAAAATTAGTTTTAAATTTAGAATCATGTAATAAAAAGTCAAATTAGCTCACCTTGGGCTCTTTGTTCTTGAAGAATTTGTTGTTGTTTCTGAAACTGATGCTGCCGAAATGCTTGAAACTGTTTCCAGCTTCGTTCTTGATCAACTTCTCTTTGTGATCTAGGTTCACGACTAAGCTTTCCAGCATCCTAAAATAAAATAAAAATATGAAAATACAGTACATATCAATTAATACATAAAAATCATAATTAATATTCCAGCATTTTATGAAAGTGAACAAATACAATCAAAATTTCCTTGCAATTTTAAATTTAAAAAACTTTAAACACAAAGTGCTCTCTTTCAAATACATATTTGTTCTAATGGTAGTTTTTACAGCAGATGACATTCTTCTAAAAGAACAGAAACATTTTTTCTCATCTTGTTATTTTATTTTATTTTTTTAACTTTTATATTTACATTAATGATTAGATATTCCTTTTTCTATCACATGACTTTTCTATTTTAAATATATTCTAGAACCTGATAATGGCCAGTTGCAATAGTGGAAAATATCTGATTGTTTTAAATGATATATGCAGGATTATAAGCTTTCTATTTTTAATTATTAATTACTCTACTCTACAAATTCAAAAAAAATTTTCGGAACAGAAACAGCAATAAATGGATTTTATTCTTTTTTGTTTGCTGAATCTGAAAATGAAGCCAGTTTCTCTCCATCACCCACCACATTTTTGTTATATACCATTAAAAAATTGATGAAAAATATGAATTTCCCAGTGATCAAGTTTATTGGTATATTAAATTTCATACAACGCTAAATAAATTTCCAATTCTTGTATTTTATTTTGCTGATTACATAAAAAACTGTTGTATAACATAACTAAAACAGGCATAAAAAGTACCTGAAATTTTTTTTAAACTGAAATCAGATAATCACTTCTTCCTTTGGTGTAGGATAGGATCTTCTCTTTGCAGAAACCAGCAGTAGTCACTCATTATCAATTCATCCCATCTCCCTTGGTAATGCTGCTCAATTTGCAATATGTCCTCGTGAAACCGTTCACCCTGTTCATCACTCACTGCACCCAAATTTGGTGGGAAAAAGTCCAGATGAGAATGCAAGAAATGAATTTTTAAGGACATCCAGCAGCCTAAATTTTTACAGTTCAGCAGAGGAATTTTTACTAAAATAGCGACTATTTTGTGCTTTGTTATTTCCAAGAAAACCATGGACTACATCCTTAAATGATTTCCATGCCTTTAGCTCTACATTATTCAACTTCATGCCAAAATTTTCATCATTAATAATTAAGTAATTTTCTAATCTGAGGTCAAACGAATATTCCTTTCTTTAATTTAGCTTCACTTAACCTAGGAAACACTTGGCTTACATGTTTCAATCCTGGTCTTTCTTCATTCAGTGCTTTAACAAAATTTTTTATCAACCCCAATTTTATATGTAAAAAGGGCAAAATTACTTCCTGAGGGTTGACTAATGGAACATACTTAATATTGTGAGAATTGAGGTTTAAGTGTCAGAGCTTAAACCATTTTCCGACAATGGGAAGGTGAGTCCCACTCGCGAGGTCAGTGGATGGCAATTTAAGAGGACAAAAATCGAGTGAAAGGTCGCAGATAAGTCAATAAGGTGTCAGCGATGTACGAGTAATCACTCTTAAATTAAATAGTTTAATAAGAACCTTAACTAAATGGTTACATATTATAGTTCAAAGAGAAATACAAAAATAGGGCGTTAGAAGGGTGATGATGGCATTCACGACACCTAAAAAATCGAATCCCTTTTTATCCTCCGAATTAATCTAATTACTCTCGGTCAATTAAGGGAGAGAGAGAGAGAGAGAGAGAAATAAGTATAGATTTACCTCGCTAGTCGTCGTCTGTGTTTCATAGAGTGAATGGAATTGATGGTGTTGACCAGTTGTTTTCTTTTGTTTGGACGTCCCCTGGCAATTGAGTGCAAGCCCTTTTTATACTATTTTTTAAGGGATGAGAACTGTCAAATAGTTGATGATTTATAAGGACACCTGTTAGCTGTGCTGGATCTATATCCAGCTGGTACGGAACGTCACTGATGTATTCTTTGGTCGAATTGTTGACACTGGTCAACTGAAGGTGAAATTTTATGACATAAATTCCTACGAATTTTACAGTTCTCTCCCATTAATTATTGTGTATTTTGACAATATCTTCTCAGATTGGACAACAATCTCTAGATTGTTTATATTAAATATTGTATTAGTTGACGAGAGAGGCAATTATTATCATGTTGTTTTGGTTATCATGCAGGTGTCCGCAGACACATGCCACGTGCAACTAAAGGAGGAATGAAAAACACTGCTTATTAGTTTCTTTTAAATGTCTGTTCTTGCCTCATTGATTTTATCACTGATCAGTATAGATTGTGACATTTAAACCAAGGAGAGAGTTTTGACCATTGATTATAGACTATTCCTTTTTTCTGTAGAATTACTAGGGTTAGGCAGTGAACAATACTGATTTAAAAAATACAAATAAAGGGTGGCAGAATATCACAATATTGTTTTTCCCAGGAGTGCAAGTGGCTCATTATGGCCAATCTTTAACCACATAATGTTCACTTTTGTTGTACAACTGTCCCACAGATGTAAACTAATTTGTTGCACAACTGTCCCACAGATGTAAAATGCAGCAGTATTTTGTAAAGAACCTTGCAGTCCGAGAATAAGATCAAGAAATTTTAGGTCACCTCAGATACGCCATAAGTGAGCACTATAATTGACTGCTTTTAAAATTAATGACATATTTTCATATGTTTCTTTCAAACTAACAGCATGAGCTACTGGTATAGAAAAATTCTTGATTCAATTACACAGTAGCACTGCTTTTAAGCTCATTTTTTACGAATCTACAAATAACCGCCAATCATCAGCTTTATAAGGAATATTCAATTCAGACACAAACCATTTATATCACCACAGGAACACAACTGATCTGCCATAATGAAATATTTCATTAAATCCTTATTTCTGTGTCTGAAAAATGAAACTTTAGTATCCTTGTGCAATAAATTCCACTGATTTAAGCATAAACCTAATACTTCTGCTTGCTTGTATCAATTGTAAAAATGTTGACTTTTGAAATTGAAATTTTATATTTAAGCATTTTTTTGACGAAATCTTTACTTTAAACAAAAAATTTATTTATGATTGAAAAATTAAATAAAAAACACGTTAAAATGTTTACCACCGTAAGAGGAAGAAGTCAAAGTTTGCCATTTTTTACATGGGCTGAAATGAAGATCTGACTGCCCTTAAAGTCAAATAACTAAATAACATGACATGATAGAGCATTTCTGATCATACTTTCCGTTTCAGCATGAAAAATACGTTATAAAAAAATCACTGACATATCTGTTCCGAAAATCATGTAGACTAGTGTTATTACTTATCTAGTTTACTTGGTATTCTANACAAGTGTATCAATGCAGGAGGGTGCTATTTCGAAGATTTTTGACTAATTGTAAGAATATGCTCAATAAATGATTTTTTATGAATATGGTCGCATTACTTATGGAACACACCTGGTATTCAAAATATTTAGATACCATCCTTGCAATTAAAAAAAAATTTTCAGATTTTAGACTAACACTTCATTTATATTTCTATATAATTTACCTAATATATATATAATATATATATAATCTACCTAAAAATAAAGCTTCAGATATAAACAATTAGACATACTCCATTTTTAATTAAAGTTAGATGATGTGACCTTAAGTTTTGAGATTTCTTTACACTAATTTAGTTCTGTTCTTTGTAGTTTTAGATGAATAAGTTTGTGTAAAGTCTCTGATTTAATAAGGATAATAACCAAGTAAGAAAGATTTGTTTCTTATTATTGTGAAAAGCTGACTATCTTATGAGAATTTTAAGTAACAAATATGTCGTATAAATATTTTCTTCCATCATTATTTCCGTTATTTCTCCCGTTTTCACCCCATTGTCCGAGGAATAGACCCCGGACAATGAATTACGTCATTTCTAGGGATGACCTTCTTGACGGACAAAGTCGTCCGGGTCGACCGCGGAAGCTACCCTGGGACCTGCAGTGTGAAGTTAGCTAAAAAAGGTCACTTACAAGGGTCAACCATACGGTGAGAAACATTACCAAGGATGGTCAGTCATCTCCCCCTAGGTGATGACGAATTTAATACTTTGCAGCTCTATTTTCTCTTGCTTTTTGCTAGAATAAATAACAAAAATTTAAATTCAACCAATTTTACATATATTAGTGAATACTATTTCTAAAGATAAATTGTTAAAATGCTTTCATAATATAAGAATTATACCAAGAAATAAACATACTAAGTTCAATGTATACATAGAAGAGGCAATGAATACAGTACTAATACAAAAGGTATAAAAGTGAATGGAAAGTTGTACAGCACAATAAGATTTCCTGATGACATCACAATGATAGTGAAAGATGTATATGATCTACAGATAGCTCTTAAAAATTAAAACAAAGAATTTAAAAGATGTAGGATGAGAATAAATAGGAAAAAATCAAAGATTATAAAATGTTAAAAAAAAAAAAAAAAAATGAACTTCTATTTGGATGGTCAAAAAATAGAAAAAGACAATGAGTTCACGTATCTAAAAAGCATAATTACCTCAGACGGAAAGAATGGAAGAGATGTTACAGTGAGAATAATCCAAGCAAAACAGGCATTCTATAGAAAACGACAGATGCTAACAATGAAACATATATCAATCGATGTTGGGAAGCGATTCATTAAGAGTTTCATTTGGAGCATAGCATTGTATGGTTTGGAGAAATGGACACTCCAAACAGCAGAAAAAAGAAAGTATTTTGAGATGTGATGTGGTGTTGGCAAAGAATGATACAAGTGTCATGGACGAAGAGAAAGAGGCATGAGGATGTTTTAAAAGAGGCAACAAAGAAGAGACAGATTTTGACAACAATAGAGAAGAGGATAAATGACATGATTGGCCACTTAATTCGACTCTCAGAATGAATAAATGTTTTATTTGGAAGGAAAGATAGAGGGCAAAAGGAGACGTGGAAGACCCAAAGTGGAATATCTTGGTGAGTTATTACATAAAAGGCCTTACTAACAGATAAAACAGTCATCTAAGCTAAGAGAGAAGCTATAATACTGCACACATCCATGTTTGCCCAACAACCATTGGTTGAGGAGAGAGAGAAAGTTTTAGTTCTATACATACATATACATATAATTCAAATTATTTAATTATTAAGCCTTTAACTCCATCCAATAATAACCTGATAATTAAATTCACTTAAAACTTCTTAAAGTTGAAAGTATTGTTCAAATTTCTAATAAAATAGTTGCCTTTGAAATGTATTAATAAAGAACTCAGATTCAAAGGCTTATTACTTAAATTTAAATAACTTTAATCCAAAATTTATAAATCCTGGCTTAATTTAAAAGTTTCAAGTTTAATATATATTTAAGTCATAAGCTTCTAAAACTCAGTTTTACCTCAAAATAATTGAAATTTTCTGTAATTTGTCATCTCTTGATAATCAAGTAAACATCAGTGATTTTGATATTAATTAAATAATTCTAAGTTGATAATGAACAAAACTTAGCACCATTTTGAATGAATAATCATAAATACCATTAGATTAAGGAAATCAAATCTCTATTAACATTGTAATATTTAGATGAGTTGAAAAAATTAGTGTTAAAAAAAATTTTGGTTACTTTAATCTAGTAGTATTTATGATTACATACTAAGTTGATGAATTATTACATTTTTNGAGAAATGGACACTCCAAACAGCAGAAAAAAGAAAGTATTTTGAGATGTGATGTGGTGTTGGCAAAGAATGATACAAGTGTCATGGACGAAGAGAAAGAGGCATGAGGATGTTTTAAAAGAGGCAACAAAGAAGAGACAGATTTTGACAACAATAGAGAAGAGGATAAATGACATGATTGGCCACTTAATTCGACTCTCAGAATGAATAAATGTTTTATTTGGAAGGAAAGATAGAGGGCAAAAGGAGACGTGGAAGACCCAAAGTGGAATATCTTGGTGAGTTATTACATAAAAGGCCTTACTAACAGATAAAACAGTCATCTAAGCTAAGAGAGAAGCTATAATACTGCACACATCCATGTTTGCCCAACAACCATTGGTTGAGGAGAGAGAGAAAGTACCTCCATCCATCTTTTAGATAGATGAACATTTAGTTTTTTTAAAAATATATAGTTTATTTTAAAAAATTACATTTAGAACAAACTAAAGCAAAAGTTAAATTAATAAGTAAATGGATAAATTAGATATAATTGAAA